ACATCTTGATTTGATTTTCCAGGCTATTGATTCATTACATCTCCTGTAACTAAGCATATTAGTTGACAGAGTATATTTATATCAGCTCTAATCATTTTCTGAAATCTCAAGAGAAAGCATTATACATGTAGTCAAATGAAGAGGTATAAAATGATTCTTTCTATTCACTATCAAGACATGTTAGCATACTTATTGATGTCTTTTATCAAGAAACAATGGATAAAAATAATAATTAGACATTTTCATTTTAAATGTCTAAACAAAATTTGATATGTGTTCATATCAAGTAGAAATTGTAATGATCAAATATTATCAAGGAAGGAACAGAAAACAAAAGCACAAAGGGTTTGCCGTAACTTCCGGGTTCTTTGGGAACACAATATGTTGTACATTTAAAGAACTAAAGCCTAACATTATTAATAGAACCTTTAGTGTTCAAAGCAATATGCTCAATAGAACCTTTAGAGTTCAATAGACAGAGGAATCAATTTAGCAACAAGAAAATTAAACAACAGTTTTGAATGTAACATGTAAGCATAAAAGGTCATGGTCTATGAGCATAAAAGATCGCATTATATGTCTGAAGATGTAACTACATAGGGTTTGTGCAGATTAGAATTTGGCCCATAATGTGGAACTAAAATACTGTAGTTATATCTTCACATGCATGCATATGCACATATATGAAAATTACCTTTAGTGTTATATGCAAAGCATTCAAGAGAACCTTATAGGATTTCGTATCTTAAAGTATATTTCATACTTTATATATATAAAATTTTAAAAATTCCTATTATAAGAGGTTGCAAATTAGTTGCCTACAAATTAGACCTTCCAAATTTAAATTGGTTGCCTACAAATGAGACATTCCAAGTTTAAATTGGTTGCCTACAAAAAAGACCTTCCAAATTTACGTGATCATTTTCGAGTACCACCTCTTAAACATATTATTTTGATTTTTTTAAATATTTTTTTTCATACACATGTGCTTTAAATTTTACAAATGTATTCTTGCATAAAACTTGTAATTAATCATGTAACAAATGCAAGTGATCTAATATGACATATGAATATCCATCATAATACAATAAAAGAGATAATCTTTATATTTGAGGATTTAAAATATAATTGATCATATCAAATAGACTTTAAAAGATGCATATGAATTATTCTCATAATTATAATCCTCATATTCATGCTTGAATATGAAATATTTCACATGGAATTATAACAATTATCAAACAAATAAAAGGATCTGGTAAGACTTCCACTGAGCTCCTGGCATGTTACAGAAGATTCCAAAAAAAAAACTTATAACACTTCCATCAAGAATCATTCATGTAGGACACATGCAAACAACTTATCATATTCTTGCTTCAAGGGACTTGACTACACATTTTATTTAAAATTTTATAAAGAGGTTTAATACTTTATTCACCACTAAGTTTGTTTCAGAAGCAGTACATTAATTTTCTCCATGATATACTTGGATGCAAATTCAAGGTAAGAAAGATGTTGTACTTTACTTTCAGAGGTACATAAACTCCCATATCCATATTGAGATTCATTATCTAAGACAACAAGCTTTTCCTCTAACAAGTAATTAAGCTGTAATGTAATATCGTTTCTATTATGAAACAAAGAACAAATAATAATATAAGATCAATTTCATATCAGCTTATTCGTAAAACCATGTTTATTAAGTCAAAAGTCAAGTTGCTCAACCAGTTGGCATGTTGAACTTAAACACCATGTGATAAAGTTAAAGCTAATATGAGTTCAAGCAATAACTAACATGATAAAAGAGGACTATTTCATTTTTGATATTTAGAAACAACATCATCCACGTCGGAAAAACCAACAAAAATAATGTAGGGCCCAAAAGCCTTTTGATATTTAGAAACAACATCATCCACGTCGGAAAAACCAACAAAAATAATGTAGGGCCCAAAAGCCACTTTGGCTAAAGGCCAATCCAACTTTCGGCTCCACTCAGTTAATACGAACTGAAGTCATATGTATTAATATTTATATAAGATTTATAACATGTAATAAACTAGGTATTATAGCAGCTGTTATTGCAATATTGCATGTTAATTTATTGTGTAATAGTAATTAATTACAACTTAATTAACAACAATTAAATAAATAAAATAAAATGCAATAAAATACAATAATTAACAGAAATTAAAGCTATTAATTACAAATTTAAATTTATTTCGAATGAATAGTAATGAACAACATGCATAAACTTTTGAATGAACATTAATTCTGGATTAATAAACAATAACGTTTTTTTAATTAACAAATAATTAGCAGTAATTATTTTGCTAAACAGTAACGTTTTAAAAGAACAGAAAATGTCCAGCAGCAATTAAAAATAGATAAAAAAAAAATTCTGGTTTTTTTAAACAGCTATAATACTCAATCTTCTAGATTGTTGGAAATTAACTGTAAAACAAGATTACAACATAAAATAAATCCGAATTAAATAAGTAAGAGATAAGAAATTCAAGCCTGACGGGAGAAGTTGTGTAATCACTGTCCTAGAAGATTGAGGACCCGCCTATCGTCCTGGCGCAGATGATCCTCTCCCCCTAGCGGTAAAAGCCTCCGGAAACGGCCGGCCTCTGTACTCGGGCGAGAGTACAGAGCTTCAGCTCAAATGAAGAAGGTTGCTCATAAGAATAATAACAACAATTTGAGATGGGAAAAACAATTTCTTTCAAAACCAGAGGAGAGAAGAAAGCTTTGTCTTATATCTTTTGAGCTTAACATACGGTTGTTTATATAGGGGTTGGAAAGAGCCGTTACAAAAACCTGCAATTAATACAGTAACGTTCGCCATAAATTTTCGTAACGTTCCCCATAACGTATAGCCGTTACGTTCATTTTTAATTGCTAATTAAAACATGTTTTGATTGCAAAATTTATTACTATTCATGAAGGAAAAATTGTATTTTCTCTATCAAAATATCCAACACTTAGGCCCCATAAATTTTAAAAATTAATCTTATTTGAGTCATTAGAGAAATATGTATCTAATTTCTCTTTTCCGATGGTTGGACGTTTGGAGACAGCTGATTTCAACCTTATTGTTGTTAGCAAGCCCTGCTGGTTGATAGATATTAAGAAGATTATGAAGGTGGAGGACTCAACAAACTCCCTCGAGGATACTAACTATTATAACTAACTAACTTGAATGAGTTTTTGAGTACTTCCATTAGTTGCAAGTTTAATTTCTATTTGAATGCATTGAAATTTACCTCAGCATGCAGTCAGATTATTTCACCAATAACTTAAAGACCTCCAACTCCAAATACATCAGGAATTTGGAAGTAGAAGTTGCATGTAAATTTTGTATTTGACTTCAAAGAATTTACCATGTCACATAGTATTTGGTTTCAAGCCATTTAACCCTGTAAAACAAAGTCACATGCGCTCTCAGATTTTACCTCGCTAATGAAATTATTCATCCAATGATGATATAAGTTTTAAGTTTTTGCAACTTTTCCCCATTTGAGATCCTCCTTTTTCATTTCCTCTATCAACGGACTTCTAATTTCTATTTCCTTTTGAGCAAGCTGTCTGTCCTGTTCTTATCATCACTATGATAATGTTATGATATATTTAATTTGATGTGAAAATGTACCATAATAGGGCAAAGCTCCAAAGAGATGAGCCATAGGAAAACTTTATTGTTTAAGGATATGTAGATTTACACATGTGGGAGATGGCCCCTGAAACTTGAGGTGGATGGCAAATTTTGAAGATGTTACCCTATTATTAAAGCAATATGGATTCAGAAAACTCCAAAAATGCATATAAATTCTTACAATAAAAAAATATAGATTTATCTTTCCCCCGCCTAGGAACAGATGCAATGAACACAAAAGGCTTGAATTAATTAATTAATTGTTAAATGTGAAGATATGAGATTAGTGGAAACTAAAAGTAGAATTGATGTCATTTAAAAATTAATTAATGAATAAAATCATACAGTTATGGTGACTGGATACTTAGAATTGTATCAAATCTTTAATGAGCTTATTAACCCGGATGCCAAAAGCAAGATTATTATTTTGACTTTGCTATTTATTAGTCATTAATATAGTAACAATAAATACAAGGTAAGAAAAATGTATACGCTAAAATCTAGTCATTAAACCCAACGCAAATTCTAGCTGAGTTGGCAAGTTGCTTATAAGTAGTACTCCGAGGTCTCATGTTCATCTCTCATACGGAGCATCCATAGGAATTTAATTTTTTTGGAATACCTAATGATGTGTGTTAGGGATGCCCCCTGAGCCATTCCTATGGGTTTAATATTTGATATTCATGGTATGGGAAAGTTCCCTTGCCAAACCAAAGGAAAAAAAATATAGGGGAAAAAAAAAATCTGGTCATTAACATTCCAAAAGATGTTATCCTAAACGCGTATCCAAGCTAAGCCAAGCCGAGGTCCATGAATATCACGTGCGCCGTCCGCCACCAAACAGCACGTGGTCACGTGACCCATACCAACAAAGGAATATTCCATTTCTTTCTAAATAATCCCCTCTCATTTTCCTTTGCCTATTGTCCCCGATTTTGATGCATGAAAGCTGGGCTGTAGCTGAAAGCAAGGCTAAAGTAGAGTCTGAACTAAACCCAACGGAAAACCTTTGCTTCCAATAGAAAGCAAAGCTATTAATCTCTCCCAAAATTAAAAAAAATTAAAAAAATTAAAGCATCATCACACGAAAAGAACCCACCACTGTTTCAAAAAAATTTCTTGAATTGATAAGCTTTTTCCTTCTCTTTTCTTCTCCAACAAACTCACCCACTCGAGGTTTCCATAACAAGAATAACTGTAATGAGATAAGACTGGGATTGGAAATCATGAATAGAATTAGCCCATGTGGGGTAATTGGCCCATCATCAAACTTAGGTTTGAGAGTGACAACATCGAGCCATGAATTATGAATGAGACTATTTGAGATGACCCGAGAAACTAGCTGTGCAAGATAAACACACCCAATTAATAATTAATCAATCAATCAAACAACAAGTTCTTACAACCATATATGAGCAATCCTAATATAAACCCCAAAAAGAAAAGAAAAGAAAAAAAAACATAAATATACAATCAGTTATGCTAGCCTGAACATTGCTAGCTCCACACAATTTTTTTCTGGTTTTTTCTCAGTCTCTATAAGATTAAATCACATATATACACAGCAAGGGCCTTCTCTTAAGTGATTAGTAAACTTTGGTCAGGCCGATTCTAATTCAAATAAAAAAGAAACAAGCAAAAGAAAAATCTATGCATCAATCAGCAATGGAAATATTCAGCACTTCCACATGTTATCCAACTCTAAAGCACCTGACGTCGACACCACAGACGAGATCTCAGTGTTGCGGTCCGTGCTCATGCCCGTGTCGTCGCTGACCATCGAATGGTTCGGCAGCTGCTCATTCTTGCACTGGAAATAGCTCAGGTTCTGGTTCTGATTGTAAAAACCCGGCGGCGTTGGAATCTGATTCATGGTCGAGTAATTTGCTTGCATATCTTCGAAGTTTGGCATGTTGACAAAATAAGTGGACGGGTTGCCGGTGAAAATCCCTTTGAAGTCGAAACTGTCGTCGCTGTTGAAGTAATTAGGAGTTGAGTCCATGAGAGGAGGGAGATTCTGCGAGTCTAAGAGATCGCTGAAAGAGTTCATTCTCCCGAGTCCAGAAATTACTGGGCTCTTTTTAGCTCCGGTGTCCTTGTGGAACACCCTACACACCACCCATTCATCCTGAAATCATAGACTACAGATTCTTCACACAACAGGTAAAAGAAGCTAACTTTAGAACAAGCAAATCATGATAGAGAAAGCTAGCCAAAAACCCAAAAAGATATTTTTCTTGAAAAGGAGAGGTATTGATTAGAGGAGAACATGTATTCCGGTCCCAAACAAAGTTTATATTTTGATCTTAGACCTCCAAATCTTAATTTATACTTCTAATAAATTGCACCATGGCCGATAAAACCCCAAAAAAAAAAAGCAGAAAACTTCGGATTACCTTGGCAGGTTTAGGGAGATTATTGAAGGGGCCTTTGCCCTCAATTCTGTACTCATGCATGACCCAATTGCTCTTCTCTCCTTTAGGAGCTCTCCCTGTGTAGAAAACAAGGGTCTTCTTCATTCCGACAAGAACTCCTCTCCCTCTAAAGATCTCCTTATCTTTGCCTGTAGCTTTCCAATATCCAGCTTCAGTTGCTCTATTAGTTCTCATCCCAGTTGGGTACTTTCTATCTTTCTGACAGAAAAAGTACCATTCTTTTTCTCCCATCTTAGCCTTACCTGAATAAACAAAAAAAAAACGCAAATTTTAGCATATTCGCATCGTTATAAAGAAAAACCCAGATGAAAAAAAGATGCAAAGATCATTACTTGGGAGGTCCCAAGGCTCACACTTGTTGAGATCAACGTCTCCTATGGCCCTTGAGGAGAAATTTTGATTGAGGATTTTGGGAGAGAGGTAGTGGGTGACGATCTCTTCGTCGGTTGGATGGAATCTGAAACCTGGAGGTAAGTCTAAGCACTGATCCATGATTAAAACTACCAATCCCGAGGAATATAAGAAATATATAGGGGGAAATTGTAAAGTTGGAGACCCGAGGAAAAAAGAGAGAATTCTGGGGTGGATTTTTTTAAGAGAGGAGAGAAGAGGAGAGAGAGGAGGTGACACGCCTAAATAGAGAGATTCCTCAAAGCCAAGCCTTAAGATACGTGCTCGTCAAGGCACTTCTCGGGGAAGCCTCACTTTCTCTCTCCTCCCCATTCTTTTTAGAGAGAGAGGGGGGGGACATGGGGCATGGTAGAGAGAGGAAGGGGTCTTTTTTTATTTTTTACATAGTTATTGATTGAATTAGTTTATCTAAGTAATATTTTAGCAATAAAAAGGGCAAACTTCACTTTGTCTTGTTCTCTTTCTCTCTCATTTTGGGGATTGGCTTCACGGCGTAGTTTCTAGGAATCTGCTGCTAACTGAAAGGCACTTTTGGATGTGGATTCTAGACCCATATGATTTGTGGCTAGGGTCCTCTGCGTGTCGCGTGAGGGCCTCAATAAGTACAGAGTTGAGAGTTCGTCCTAATTAAATATATACAGTTGGATAGGTTTATTACTTTATTCCTAATTAATTGTATAAATATATATAGTTAGGGAGATTGATGGGGGGTCATTAAGTGAATAGGTGAAACCTTTGAGGGGGATTAATGATTATCTGCTAACAAGTCTTCGTTCGATATGTGGAATATTTAGCCTCTTCATTATAAAGGCCCTTTTGCCAGATAGAACTTTTACAAGGATGCGTTTAAAAAGCACATACTATTGGGCGGGCTTGGCTGGGATTAGGTCTTATTAAAATCTAAAAAGTTATAGAGTTGGTAAAAAAAGTATTTATTTGTGACGCATAAGTTTGTGGTCCTAAATTCACCGTCTGCCGTAATGTGGTAGAATGGTCAACGGTCTCTCTTTAAGGACTGATCTTGACTTATGCAGTAAAATTATTATTATTTTTAAATCTATAATAAATTCGTGGTCAGTGGAATTTGGACCTAAATTGTCACAATATCATGTCAATGGCTAGCACCACCACACCAAAGTTTCAAAGTCATGACGAGAATTGAGGATCTTAAGTTTATACTCTAGCTTACACAGAAAGGGGCATTTTTAAGGTGTGTTAGGAAGTTCAGAGATGATTCAATTCAGTTTCTTTTTTAGGGAAATACTATTTCAACTTCCTTTTTTAGGGTCAAAAGATGAAGAACGAATAGAACGTTCCGATAGCTTTACAAACTTACTCCCAGTTTCTTTCATATATAACTACGTATGTCAAAAAAGAAAAGAGCAGGTCAAATGCTTACACATGACCATTTACTTCTACCAACAATCTTATGACTTTTTGCCAAGTTATTCATTTTTTTTTCTTTTTACGAATTACCTGCTCAAACGTATGAACCCAACAAATCTGCACCTATGACATGTAATTTTTTTTTTAACATTATGTATTTGAAATCTATTACGAGCAAATTAAGCTGACCAATGACTGATAAGGGCTAACGAGCACAGGGGGTTGCCAACTGTCCGAAGCAGTCTGAAACTGGCAGTTGCCTCCCCCAAACTCCCCTCCTTTGTGGGCCCCACGGGAGAGCATCTACTACGTGTCTCGCTCCGCTCCGAGCACCCGCCGGAGACCCGGTAGCGGGTGGGCCGAGATCCCGCTACGTGGCCGACATTATATTGCTCCGCCATCTCACTCTAACGTGTGTGCGTGTCTCTCTCCCCTCTTAATCCTACGTATCCTTCGTCATCTTAATCCGTTAGTTGCATCCTAATTCGGTATTACTTGAGGAGATTAATTTAAGATACAACGAAAGGAAAATGATGCATATATATAGAGCTCCTCCCTTACGAAATCATAGAGGACGAAGGATTACATGACACATACTTCACTGTCAATTTCTAGCGTGTGATTAAGTAAGGCCACACGAAATTATCCTTACCGCATTCATATTTCAATACGTATATTTGATCGGAAATTAATTTTGTTACAACACCAACAAGTTTTTACGAAAATGAAATAGGCAAGAAAAATAGGACAACAGCATTTGGCTCGAAGTTGAAAAGTGTGACATGACGACAACTAACGCCGTCACATGAAATTTTAAATGTATTTGTAGTTGTAGTTATATTTAACCAAACACACTATATTCGGTGAAATCAATGAATATCAAGACAGGTAATTAATAAAATAAATAAATACTTATGCCAGTGAAATCAACAACTTGAAAATGTTCGTAGATACTTTTTTTTTTTTTACTAGAGCTACAAATTTCCCCCAAAGATTAATAGGGTTATCCTATTTATATAGTTAGTAAGATGATGGTTACAAGTGTTTCGAAGTCAATTTTAAATTTAAACATTGCGTTAACTATTTTATTATTTGTATTAATTCAATATTTTATTAATTTTAATTTAATATTTTATTTATACTGGTATGAGTACTGTTTGTAATAGGTTTGTACATTTTAAATTTGATAGATGTGAGGTGATAAGTCATTTGATAAAATAAATTATCAAGGGATAGAATCTCACCCCACATACTGTCTTTTAATAACTAATTATTTTACTGAATGAATTGTCCGATCATGGTGCTATTTACCCTACATTATTTACTTATTAATCCACTATGCATAAATTCTACTTTTCATCTCTTTGCATGATTTCTTACAAATTTCTTTTAGATCACTAGGACTAGAGGCTAAGGCTGCTAAGCAAAAGTGAGATGGGGCCAGCAAACCGCGTGGGGCCCACGGAAGCGAGGTGGGGAAGGGAAGCGGCCTAACTAACTCCTCAGTGTTGACTTTTGATCCCTCCTCTTAATTCGTTTTATTTTAATTTACTTTTAAAAATACTTTTTCTCGAGAGGTGACGTCAGCGTAGGCCGGTTCAACTTTACCGGCACGATACCACCGACCGGGGAATTAGAGCCATGGATCAAGGTCTGGTCAAGTCAAGTTAATTTTAAGACTAATTACCAAGTTGTTGTTGGTGATTGTCTTGCAAAAATGTGAGGTATTAATTGTTAAGAGCGTGATTAATAACCCTCTAAATCTAGCGATAATTACAAAATGTTAGTGTGGTGAAGTGAACTTTATTCATGATGGGAGAATTAACTCATATATTCAAATCTTATTGACAATGTATTCGATTCAAATTAAAAGTAAAATATATCATTATTGATCCGAATTAAAAATTAAAATATATTATTATATGAAGAATCCAAGTTCTAATTCGTCAAAATAAATATAATGCTTTGAATACATAGATATATTAGAGAATAAAATTTAGTCATCAAAATGTCTTATGAGTAATAGATAGGCTGGGGTTTCTGACCCCATCCCCTTCTCAAAAATAAGTTTATAGACTTATAATGCTCCTTTAACCTTATTTATTATGCGGACATGTTACTTATTTGTTAAAGTATATTCTTGTTTCACCTCAAGTAAGAGAGATTTCAGATACTACAAGGTGCAACAACCATGTTAATCATATGACCACTTAATTTGTCATATACGTTGTCTTTACAACTCTAAAGTGAAAATTTGTTTGTCAGTTACATATCTTTTATCTATACGCTTTAAAGCTTATAACTAACTTAAATGTATTGTCTTTATGTATAAAAATCAATGAGATCTTATATTCATATGAGATTTTAAATATTAGATGTTCTAGGCAACTTTAGGTAACAATATATCTTACAAAAGTTTATCATTTTTCATTATTTGAGCTCATGAATTCAAAATTAATTCAATGGCGGGTCCTAGGTATAAAAGAAGAATAGATGGGTAAATTGTGTAAAATTGCGTATTTTATAATAATTTAATGGTTCCACTTGCGACACTAAAATAGCCCTAGATTAATGGTACCGTTTTCGGACTAGGGCTCAGTTTGGTGCGCGGACATTCGTGAAAAATACAACACAGCAACGGGCAGGGTGGGCCCCTGGGGCGTTAGGGGTAGGATGGTGGTCACAGTGACGTCAGCTGGGGCACGTGAGGGCACGCGCTTGCGGCGGTGGGACTGTTTACATGGGGCCCGGACTAAAATTTGATTTTTAATAACATCCGACCTTCCATAAAAATAAAAATATAAACAAATAATAATAATAATAATAATAACATTCAAACTTTTTTGTTTTTTACATTATTTAAGTTGAAAGATATATCATATCAATATAGTTTCCGGTTAACAGAAATTTTAAGCTTTGAAGACAAATGATAATAATAATCTACTATAAAATAACAAATAACTTTGTATATAATTAATTTAAAATTAATCAAAATTGTCTCAATATCAATGAAAACAAAGGAAAAATTAAAAGAAATCTTTTTCCCCTGAATTTTTGTCTTGTTCTCTAGAAGTTTTCTTCCTACGTACGTTATGGGAAATTGACAATGGGAAATCATCTTCTTGTCATAATTATTAATTATTTAATGGATGTTTTTATTTAAGATTAACAATTCTAAAACAAAGCAGATAAATTCTAAAAAGAAAAATAGCCGTTTGGATTGTGAGGCCACCGGCATCAATCAGGGGCTTGCCTATCTGAAAATTTACATTTTTTTTTAAAGTAGATAGGCTTATTTTTTAGGTCAAAAGATAATCATCATGAAGAACAAGAGTGGAAGTGGTAATAATAAACAATCCTTGAATATTTTTGTGTTGAAATTTCTTTATGAAGCAGGAGATTTGGCATGATGATGAGGTATCCGGCGTCACCTTGGCAGAGTATAAAAATATTAGAAGCTTGCACAACGTATCTTTTTAGCACATCTAGTTTATATGTATGGAATCTTGAAGTTCATCATTTTAGTTATTTGTTAATCTATTATTTATCATTTATGATTCTTGAAATCTTTTAGCTAAACATTATGAGTAAGGAACCTCGAAATCCTTGAGCGGGATTTCAGAATGACACATGGGAACCCAGAACATGCGGAGTGCCAGCAAACAAGTGTCAATCAAGTTACATTAGGGTTTATATACAAATAGCCATAGGGTCTGAAGACTTCCAGTGTAAACATTGAGCTGGCATCTGACTAAATTAAGCTTCATTGAGATAATTTTATCTAAAACAAAAAATTGATAATAAACAATTAAATTTTTGGCTAAATTACATGAAATTCATCTCTCTAGTTAATTAGCCACTTTCCCCAACAATATTCTCTCATT